GCTGAGTAATTGAAGAAGAGTCAGGCCTAATCAGAATAAAGGGACTGGCCCTGAGCTTAATAGAAGGCCACGATAGAATAAACATGCTAAAATCATGCTAGTTACAAACATTAGACTGTTGGCATATAAAGACACGGTCCCAAGTGATTCTAGAATCTACAGACATCATGCCCAAGTATCTCGGTGAGACGGGTTGATTACCAAAAATAGAGAACACTGAGTGAAGACCTTACCATAAGTCTTGTGGGATCCCTGATTCTTTGATAAAATGTTCTAGGTCTTAAGAGAGAGGCTACCATCACTCTGACACTATAAATAAGATATGAAAATATAGAAGAAGAAAAGTCAACACTCAACAAAGACTTGCATTCTGCATTCTTAGCTTTTTAGTTTTAACAATTAGTTTGTACCTTCAATTTAGACTTGTAATCCTTCACATTTCAATAAACATAAAAAACATTTGTTCTACCAAGTGTTGTATATCTTTTACATTCAATTGAACTGTAGTAAAGGAGCTTAGGACCCTTTTGTTATCAATTAAAACTTAGTATCTCTAGTATGTCTGGTATTTGTTGTTCATACACGAACACTTAATAACATTGTTTTCAAAACTGGATGAGATATGTTTAGTCCAGTTTTGTGTTTTGATGTGGCACTGACTAACTTGGGTTATATTTTTAAAATTTTTGAAGCCCAATTTTGGGATGTTGAAAATAAAAAAAAACATTAAAAATTAGATTCAAACCAGAGTTTTAGAGACCTCATAGTAGCTAAATCTTCTCCCTCAAATGAGCCCTCTCGTTCTTGCATTCTAAGTTCTCAGCGTTCTACTGTTGGTAGTGACTTTGCTTCACTTCGTAGAAGAAAATGGAAGAAGAAGATTGAAGGTAAAAAAGGGATAAAAAGGAAAAAATTTGGTTATGCATGAAACCCATAGGATATTTCCATCTTTCTTCATATGATTAATTTGCACAGGACAGCAAGGGTCATGGGAAAAAGTGATGCTTATGAACATGGAAGATGACATGCGAAAGCAAAAAGCATACTCTATATACTATATTATATTATTATTTTAATTTACATTACTTAATTAAATAATTTTTAAAATATACCACTTTTATTTATTATTTTTAATTCAAAATAAATTTTTATTTCTATTATTTTAACCTTATTTTATCATTTAATTAAATTTTTTTTGTTTGGGATAAATCATTTAATTATTGGATAGGGAGGCGCAATGGAAGATTAAAATTTTAAAGTCTCTATCCTGATATGAACCGAATGAACTCATTTAAGTCAAGGTGGATAGAATAGTTATCTTTTAATTCTTTAAAGTTGGCATACATTCTCTTCAAGAGTTTGGATCTCAGGAGTTGACAACACAAATCTACTCTCTCTACCGGTATCCACACGAACAACTCTCTAACTCGAACAGCATGCTAGCGCTCTCAGCATCCATTCTTCTTTGAATGTTAATTTTCCTTTCTATAGGGTGTTTCGTGGCTCTTAAAGTGTTTTTGCCGTGAGAATTTTTCTAACTCTCTCTTCCTTCATAAAGGACGTCCCTATTCATATATAGTATGTAGATAAGGCTTTTCGTCTTCCACTTAAAACCCACAAAAATTTAATTAAATTTATCTCATAAATTTAATCCATAATATCATATCTAATTTGAATTTATCTTATAAATTCAATTTATAAAATTGACATGATATTCTCTCATATCATGTTAGTTATTAAATTTAATCTATCATATAAAATTAAATTTAAAACTAACATAATATAATATAATATAATATAATATAATATAATATATCACATATACATATTATATTATATATATACGAATATATATACACATATATATTTCAAATATATATATAATTATATTTTGAATTTTATATTTCATATATATATATATCAAATAAATATTCAACTATATATATAATTCATTTACACTATATTACATTCATTGAATCTAGACATATTTCAGAGTCAATGAACTTGGATATTATAGCTCAATTAAGCTGTTCATGTGTGTGAGGCCCATATGAAATTGGCAGTAGAGTAATTACGCTATTAGCCCACAAGTCACAAGTGGCCTCTAGCAAGACATTGCAACTACCCAATTCACATAGGGATTGATGATCCGACGTAACCTATCATGCAATGATATCATATCCCTTTTGTCACATGATATTTCGGTCAAGCATGAGACATGCAATTGTCATTCTCCTTTACCTAACAGTTACTTTCTCGATCTCTGAGTAGACTAACAATAGCAATGGAAAAACCCTTTCTATTGTAGTATGGCAATACATTTTCTTAGTCTTACTTATCAAAGGGCCCAGTAATATCCCTTACTTAATGTGAGGGACAAATTTCATCTTGACTACTCATATGTCTCTGCATGAATATTACTAAATTCAATCATAGCCTTTATGATCACCTGGTCAAAGGTGACTTTTGATTAGGTCAAAGTTTAATGGTCATCATGTAGGAATCCATAATGATCTTTGGTCAAAGGGCTTAGTGATATAGTTATATATGAGATAAGCTTATGACTTGTACCATGTAGCTTTCTCATAGTGGGTCAGTCCAGCACCTTGTACTCTTTCAAGTGCTTATGACTTTAATTTGTATCTCTATAATTAATCAAAGTTATACTAGTCTTATTTCATCTATGATCCCTCAAAGATGACCGACCAGGGACATTTAGGATAATTACTATAGTTTGTCTAGGGATATAGTTATCATATTGAACATGCAATTGTTATGATAATAAAAGAGAAATTCATTAAATAATAATGTGCATAGCACAATGATTAGCCCTATGGCACAATTTTCAACTTTAATTACCCTTATTTAAAAACTATAAAAATGTTGTTGTATTTTTTATTGTTAAAATTATTATTGTATATTATATGATATATTAAGATTTGAATATAAATAAATGTATTAATATTAATATATTTTCATTTAAATTAAAAAAACTAATCATTTAGTTCTTGTAGTTTTGACCCAATTGTAACTCAGTTCTTAAATTTTGACTCATTATAACTCAATCTCTGAAGTTTTAACTTTATTGTAAATCAGCCCTTGAACTTTGCCTCTTGCAATTTAGTCTCTGAAGTTTCAACCTCTTCAATATTAATCTCTTTATTTTAAAAAATAAAATTATAAAGATTAAACATATTTTAAAATTTATTACTAATATCTTAAATTACTAAACCCTTTTAATATTTATAAATGTCAAAAATTTTAAAATATAAAAGGGAGATATTAGTAAAAAATTTTAAAATATTTTTAATGTTTATAATTTTATTTTTAAAAATATAGGAACTAATATTTAAGAGGTTGAAACTTTAGGGATTAAATTTCAAGAAGTAAATTTTAGGGATTGATTTACAATCGAGTTCAAATTTCAGGAACTGAGTTATAACGAGTCAAAGTTCAAAGATTAAGTTATAACTAGATCAAAACTACAAGAATTGAATAATTAGTTTTCTTTTTAAATTATGTTATTCTATAGGAGAATTACAATGAGGTCCCACACATCAAACTTAAATACTGCTAGGTCCCATGAATAAGCCAAATTAGTATGAAGTCCCATGGTCCTTAGGGGTAAATAATATTACAACTAAAAAGACCCATTTGCCTTTGGCTAATTTAAAAGGGAAGAAAAGAAAGAAAGAGGAAAGAAGTCTGGTTTTCACGCGTGATAGAGGCAACAGTAGCTGAGATGCATCTCGCGAGCGTCCTCGGAATGGCATACGCAAGGATCAACTTATAGCTAGAAGATGAACCCATTCTTGCAATGATCTTTAGTTTGAGGTATGTAGGAGTCTGTGAAGGAAGAGGGCCTACGTTCGAACATTCTTGCACCTAGGTTGGAGCTTCAAAGAATTTGATATTGTGACCTCATGGAAGTAAGTAAATGATGAGATTAGTTTGCATATACTCCTTGTTAATCATTTAATCTAGTATTTTATGGTTTGTTGGTAGAATAGGGTTTTCTCTTTCTCTCCTTATGGGTATATAAGTCATGGGTGGTCTCTCTCTCTCTCTTGGTCAATATATCTATCATGGGTGGTCATTGGGGTTGCATTAGTAATAGTTTATTCTAGAATCTAGTACTACCTAGTTGGGCTAATGAGTCTGTCATGAGATAGTAAGATATGTTGTTAATAGCTGAAGCATCTATTGTCAATATGCTATGGGTAGTTATTAATATGTTGTGTGACGTGAAGGTTGAGAATACCTTGAATGTGCTATTAATATGTGAAGCTTTAGTTGTTAATATGGCATGGACAGTTGTCAATATGTTGTGCACAGCATCGATTGACAATATCTTGTGTGTTGTTAATTGTTGAAATCAAAATACTGTGGGTAGTTGTCAATATGTTGTGTATGGTGCAGGTTGACATGAAAGATGGCTAGTACTTCTGGGAAACATCTATTATGTTTTTTTTCATATTGAAGGAAAAATTGTATATAATGACCAAGGTGGTATGCAATATGTGGGTGGGAGTATAAGAACAAGAAGTATAAAGGAAGGGACAAGTTATGAAGAGTTAAAAAGAATGTTATCAGCAATTATGGGGTGCAAAAGCATTCGAAGTGAGATGAAGTTCACACTCAGTATTGACAGAAGCACACTTGTAGATCTTATTGATGATGATAGAGTAGAACATTTAATTAAGTACAATGAAGAAAGTAGACATGTATAAGTAGTTGGAAATGAAAATGACACTACACAAGCTTCAATGGATGACCCAACTGAGTCCTAACATGTGTAAGTTGTGTTAATTATTTTTGTTAACATATATAATATTAAAATATAGTATTACTAATGTGCTCAGATTGTAATTTTTTACAAGATTGATAATTTATTGGAAGGTTTAAAGGAAAGGTCTTTATCTCCATGTAGTTTGTGTCCTGATATTGAAGACTTGCCATTAGGATGTGCTGTACAAATAGTGCCTACACCAATACCTAAAATGAATTCAATGAAATGGAAGGACTTGTTTGAAGGTAAGGGCCAAATGTTTACCGATGTAGTGGCCTTTAGACAAACTTTATACAGGTATGGTATTAGGCAAAAGTTTTCATATAAGTTTAAGAAGAACAATATGAAAAAGGTCATTGCTAAGTGTAAGGTTGAGGGTTGTCCATGGAATATTGCAGCACATTCAATAGGAAAGCATAGTGACTTTTTGAGGGTAACAAGATTCAATAGTGAGCACATCCACAATGCAAAGGAGAAGCTTATTGTTTCATATCGGGAAAGAGTAGATTTAAGTTCACCGATCATTGCTGATGCTTTGAGGTCTACTATAGACAAGAGTACAAATGAAATTAGAAGAGACTTGTATAAAGAGTATGGTGTCCGATTGACATATAGTCAAGCATATAGGGGAAGAGGAAAAGTGTTGTGAGATATACATGGTCTTCCGCAAGATTCTTATATGATAATCCGTTGGATTTGTGATATATTAAGGGAAATTGATGTAACGACAGTTGTGAAATGGGAAGCCTCTGATAGTAACAGATTTGAGAGGTTACTCATTGCATATGGATACTATATTTTAGGTTTTCTAGAAGGTTGTCGACACATACTTTATATAGATGGATGCTTTCTAAGCTATCCATACAAGGGAACATTGTTGGCAACTTCTGCTTATGATACGGACAATGACCTATTTCCACTAGCATATGCTATTGTGAGTGGGGAAACATTTGAAGATTGGTCTTGGTTTCTCAGAAATGTCGAAGATATCACAAGATCAGTTGAGATAATATTAGTTTTTGATAGGCATAATGCTATTATTAGGGCTATGCAAGCTATTTTTGGTGGCGAGAGACATGCATATTGCTACTGTCATGTGAAGGAAAATTTTAGTACTGAATATGTAAAAATTAATAGAGGTCAGAGGAGGACATCGGGGAATAGTAAGGAGGCTGCACTAAAATTGCTTGATGCTGTTGCTTATGCTAGGCATGAGGAAAAATTTAATATTGCCATGGGGAACCTTAGATTGTTCAGTCCACAATTGGCATAATGGGTTGAAGCTCAAGGGGATGTAGATTAATGGGCACAATGTAAGTTTCCTTATAAATGATGGGATAACATTACAAAAAATCTTGCTAAATCATTTCACGCTTGGATTGTGAAGGAGTAAAAGCACAATATTGATGTTTTAATACATGAGCATCGTGAGAAATTGGCAAACAAGATGCTAGCATCCAAAATGGCCATGATTAATTGGAAAGATGGGGTAGGACCTAATATAGAGGCAAAACTGATGGAGCAAGTTGCAAGGGCTAAAAATTTGCATGCACAATTTTATGGAGAAAATTGGATCTCAATACAAACCTTTTCTCCTAATGGAATAATTCATTTGACTATAGATATTGCAAAACATGAGTGCAGTTGTTTGGCATGGCAAATGAGTGGAATACCTTGTGCACATGCATGTGCAGCAATAAAGCTGGTTCATGGAAATGTGTACAAATTTGTGGATGAATGCTATAAGTTGATATCACAACAGAAAATTTATGCTCGCAACATGAGCCTGTGTCCACACATGATATTCCACGGCCAGGTGCACTGATAGCAATAAATATGTTAACCTAAACATTCTTGCAGCTACCGACGACTAGAAGGCCTCCAAGATAACCTAAGATAAAAAGACATGAATCTCAATTTCAAAAGAAAAATCTTTTTCATTGTAGGAGATATCATGAGGCTGGTCATACTTCCAAGACCTGTAAGAACCCTAATCCATGCTGATTAATGTTGGGAAGATGCAATTTTTTTGATTATGCAGCTAATATTTTGTTGTAACTATATATGATATTTTTTTGTAAATGCATATGGTATTTTTTTTGTAAATGCATCTGAAAGTGTAGTATATCCATGCAGCCCATGTAGGTATTTTTAGAATGGGTTGTCAATATTATGTAAATGCATGGATGATGATGCTTGTACACTTGCTCTACATGTTGAAGTTGTAAATACTGGTGTAAGCCCTGTTGACAGTGAATGAATAGGCAGTTGTCATTCCCCCTTGCCGAGTTGTTAATGATAATTATCTCAATTAAAAAGGCCTTGTTATACCTGGAACATAGTGAGTTGTAAATTGCCTAGTTGTCATTCCCCCTTTCCCAGTTGTCATTCCCTCTTGCCCAGTTGTTAATGATTATTGTCCTAATTAAAAAGGCCTTGTTATACCTAAAACATAGTAAGGTGTGAATGCATCTCACCCTGTTATCATTCCCCCTACCCAACTTGTCATTCCCCTTTTCCCTGGTGTCATTCTCCCTTACCCAGTTGTTAACGATTATTGTCCCAATTTAAAAGCCCTGGTTATACCTACAACATAGTGAGTTGTGAATGTACGTCACCCTATTGTCATTCTCCCTACCAAACTTGTCATTCCCCTTTGCTCAATTGTTAACGATTATTGTCCCAATTAAAAAGCCCTGATTATACTTGGAACATAGTGAGTTGTGAATGTACCTCAAACTGTTGTCATTCGCCCTACCCAACTTGTCATTGCCCCTTTCCCTATTGTCATTCCCCCTTGTCTAGTTGTTAACGATTATTGTCCCAATTTAAAAGCCCTGGTTATACCTAGAACATAGTGAGTTGTGAATGCACCTCACCCTATTGTCATTCTCCCTACCAAACTTGTCATTTCCCCTTACCCAGTTGTTAATGATTATTGTCCCAATTTAAAAGCCCTAGTTATACCTGGAACATCGTGAGTTGTGAATGCACCTCACCCTATTGTCATTTCCCCTACCCAACTTGTCATTCCCCTTTTCCCTATTGTCATTCCTCCTTGCCCAGTTGTTAACGATTATTGTCCAAATTAAAAAGTTCAACCACTGAACACCATGATAGAAGCATTAAAAAAGGAAATGACAATTGAAATTAGCATTTACAAAGTGCAATATCCAAAATTATAGCTTCTACAAAGGTGATGACACTGTATAATCAAGTAAGTATAGCCACGGTACATTTTTAGAGCAAGAACATTTACAAAGTGCAATTTCACATTTAACTCTACCTTGATTTTATCCTAAATGATATGCATAGCTTGAGTAGCCCTTCTATCTTCTCTTCTTGTCCTTGTGGGGTCTTGATAACATAAACATGACAGTGAGTTCCTTCTCATTATTGCGATGATTGATAAGCCGCCATAATAGTTCGACCTTCATATGTCGAAGGTCATCCTGCAGGAATAAAAGAGTGACATTAAAAATATCAAGGGTTTATAATTTTGTAAGTTTTAACCAAGTAGTTCACAAGACATTCATACATCTGAGTATTCTGGCATCACATAACCGTCATCATCCAAGTAAGTGTTATCCCATAATTTTAACCATGTGATGACGTGTACAACACATGAATGACTATAATCAAAATTTATGACAAACGTACTAAATCAAAAAACTCAATAAAAGCCATAGAAAATTCAAACATAAGCTAAATCCATCATTTAAATAACACTCACGTATCCTTCTGCACTCGAACTTTAGGCCAAATTACATCTAGCTTCATGTCATTGCTAAATAAATCTGGTTTAATAGCTAAGAGCATTTGGTGAAAGCAGTCCCTTTGCACAAAAGTTAACAATGTCTATTAACAACTATGCATAAGGAAATGACAAGTCAATATGAAGTGATTGACAAGTACAGACATACACAAGCCTGTGCTACCTTTTCCTTCACATACACTTATCCTATTTTTTCCTCTTCTTCCTGGCAGGCTTCTGCCCTTTTTAATATTCTCATCCTCTTTCTTTCTTCGATCATACTCAGAAATACTCACCAATGAATCCAAGACATAAAAGTTCTTTGTTTTAGTCTCGAACACATAATACCACCAATGGCCAACAAATAGGGCAGGACCAAAGATGAAGTCACAATCTCCAATATTATATCCTAGGTATTTAGGCAGTATCTCTCTACTATTGTTAACAACAGTCTAAGTCCAAGGGTTGTTTACCATTTTTCCTATGAACTCTAAACAAAAAATGTGCCTCCTAACTTTGCCTTCATTCTCTTTTTGATCTCCAACCAATATCTTGGCAACCATTATTATAAACTGAAATTGGCGAAATAGAATCACAAGAGTAGTAAGTTAATATTCGTATAGTGGCAAAATTTTTTCATTGACTATAGATTTCATACCCTATCGCTGATCCATCTAGTTCCACCAAGACATTGAAGCTCGATACGAGTTAGGAAATATCCATACATCTACACAAAGGTCCTGTTAAAGAAAAGAAAAACCATTTGATTAACAACAAAGTTTAAGTGGTGTGTTTTTTGATCAAGTGTGATAACTTACCTCCGTCCCTTGTCTTCATCACACGATGTTGTGCACATCTGAAATAAACACTCCTTCTCAGCTAGTTTCCTCTTCTACTAGGTCTGACCCAAGGAGACTTCACGACAAGTCTTTTGAACCTTTGTGATCTCCTATGTTCTCTTACTTCTACAATCTGTAGCTGTCTAATCCCTTCTATAGCTTATTTTTCTTTTACTTCATCTTCATGTGTACTTAACTCTCCCACTTCCCTCTTCGCTTCTTTCCCTCCTTCATCCATGCTCTCATGTACACAAGTTGTTTCCTCTCTTTTTTCTTATATTTCTTTCTCTTCTCCTTTATCCCCATCCCATTCAAATTTTTCCTCATCTTTCTCTTTACCCAGTTCAACATTCTCCTCAACTCCTTGCTCATCTCCTTTTTCACCTTCTTTGGAGCTTTTCTTATCTGCCTCTTCGTCTTTTCCTTCACCTTCTTCGTCCTCATCAACCTCTTCATCCTTTCCTTTAGCTTCTTCATACTCATTAGCCTCTTTTAAATTATCCGTATCAGCTTCCTCTTCCTCTTCTTCGTCCTCTTTTTCAGAATCCTTATGTGCTTCTTCTTCTATTTCATCACCCTCTCCTTTTGTCTTGTCAACAATTTTTAAATCCCGTAGAAGCTTCATTTGTAGGTTCATCAGCTCCTCACCAAGTGTAAACACTACTCTTACATACATCTTCCTTATTTCCTACAAAACAAATGATGCGTCAGCATGGAAAAATTGGTAAATGAATACAAGATGCCTTCTTATACATACCAGGTGACTAAAACAAATATTGGATAAAACTTAGTAAAAGAACTACCATCTGTACTCATGGGATCATGTAATATGCCCTAGATGCTCTTCTTCTCTACCTTTACCCTTTCGACGACATTCTCCTTATCATAATATACGAGGGCATCATCAAGCTTAGGTGCTTCTTCTTGGCCAAAGGAAAATACTGGAAGCAATAAACCTACATAAACTTTTACATATTACTTTGAAGATATAATGATCTATATACTATCAAGTTATAAATTACAACCACACACTTACCATGAGAAAATAGATGCATCCTCCAACATTCTTCCTTCCAGTTGTCTTTCCTTTATTGAGTTGTTTCTTCCACATGTCCACTTTATTGCATAGGTCAGTCAACACATATGTTGCCTAATCATATTTACCAATTCCTTTATGTGTTTCTTATACAACCTTCAAAACACGGTCACTGACCCCTACATTTGCTGTTAGACACAACAAAGTTCCCAAAGTATACATTAAAAAGAATAACTCAAACTACATATCCTCCTTTTTGGATGTTATCATTTTCAAAATATTTATGTAGGGCATTCTGAAGTAAGTTTCCTTCAATTTCTTAAATGATTTTTCATTGATATCTACTTCTCCTGTTATCTCCTTGCCTTTACTCTTTATACCCAATAAATTTTGTACATCCTTTGCATTTATTTTTCTTACTTTCCCTCTAATGCATATTTCTTGGGTTGGAGGGTCAAGTGCCCGCATCAACTCTCCACAGATATCTCTGTGTATTTTCTTACATCCTATGCTCAGCAGTTTGTCAAAGCCAATCTTCTCGCACCTTTTCCTTAATTTGTCCTTTCCCCTAACATATTTTGCAACCTCTGAAAACTGACTGGGAGAGCAATGAGTGTGAAAGGGTACAATATATTTTATAGCTG